AAAAAAAGAAGAAAAAGCAGATCAATGATAATGCTGCCTCCACATGCGCATTCAGAGAAGTCAGTGAGTATTTTCGTTTAAGAAATTGCTTATAACCAAAACATACTATTGGGTGGATGTGCTGGAACTCAAAGTTGCGTTGAGAATAGCGGATACTGTGTCCTTTAATGGTGCGGAAGGAAGTCTCGTTATCGCGGACCATGTAGAGACGGGAGGACAAGGTGTGGAGAGCATCTCAGCACTGGTTTGAGCTGCAGCAAGAGGGATTGCACCTGTGGGATTAACCGCCGATGGAGGAGGTGGAATCGAGACGGAGTGCATCTGCGATGAAGATAGGGGGAGCGGTGGTGGTGGGAAGGGAGTGGAGAAATCAGCGACCTATAATAAAGAGCTTTCTTGAGCAGCAAACTGAAATTAGGTTGTGCATGTGAACTTTTAGGAGCTTAAAATTCTTCCCTAATTAGTTAAGCTACATAACTGAGACAACCTTTGCGCTTGAATTACCGGGAGCAATTTTTCAACAGCTGCCGAATTTTTCCTTTAGGAAAGCTATAAGCACAAAGAGTGAGAAAATCAGTTACTTATTGAATAAATATATTTAAAATCATCTCCTTACAGATTCTCATATCCAGATTATATAGAGACGAGAAAAAGCACGGTGAAGGTGGTTAGTATTTTCCAGCTCAACCTCGAACCTATTAAATAACTCACTAAGATATTTTAGAAACAAAATAACTCGTCCTAATATCTTGAAAAAAAATGGGGAAGTAGCAGTCCTAAGTAGCTGTAAGAAGCTTAGAGCCACCAACGCGTACGTAAGTGAGAGCTCCGGAATTTTTGCATTTATTGCAGATTCCACTTTAAAAAAAATTGACGTTGCTGTTTTCGGAATGCATGCAAGAGTAACTATAACAGTACTAAATAGAAACAAACTATAAACCTGTGGGGCCGGCGGTGCAATTGGAGGTGGTGGTTTTGAAACGTCAATCAAAGGAACGAATGAGGTTGTTTGTG